AAAAAACAAACAGGGAACAATACAAATTTTTTTTAAAAAAAGTTAGAATTGCAAATGATTGTTGCCATACCAGATCTAAGAGAGGCTGTGAGGTTTCTTGCAGCCAAAGAGCAAGGGTGAGCTTCCGGACCACATAGTTCACAGTGTCTGTGGCGGGTGAGAGGAGGACAATTACTGTCATTGCCCAACTCTTGTTGGTATCAAGTGAAATAAAAATTTCCCCCAAGGGGCTCTAAAAAGAGGATTTTATGTGTCATGCTGAAGTTCAGTTTTCTACAACTACATAAGAAACTACTCCCAAGCTTGGTGGCAGAAATGAGTTATTGTTATTCCTCATGGTTCTGTGGTTTGAGGAGCTTAGTTAGTGGCTCCATGCTTCGCTGGAGTCCCTCATAAGGTTGTGGTCAGTGGTGCTAAGGCTGAGGCATCTGATGGCTTCTTTACCCAAATGACTGGTGCCTGAGCTGGTACAACTAGCAGACCTGGAGGCTGTTAGGTGTTTCTTGCCATGCACCCTCCATTTGGGCAGCTGAAGTTCCTCAACATGGCGGCTGGCTTTCCTCACAGGAAACAAGAATGTCAGAAAGAAGCCACAGGGCTTCATACCCTAAACAACCAGCAATTCTCTGCCAACTGTTTCGCTTACCTTTGCTCAGCATGGCCTGATACACTGATTTATTCATAAATATATGCTTTTATTGCACAAATAATTATAATTTATAGTGAAAGTTAGTGTACAGTATTGATGAAGAGCAAGGGTGGAGCTAGAGTTTTCTACTTACTACTGATGAGACCTTAGACGTTAGTTATCTTTACCAGGACAGTTTTCCCACCCACGCATTGAGGAAAATAGTATATACACCATGAAGATCGTTGTGAGACTAAACTGAGCCAGTGCACGCAAAGTGCAGGTATCACGCACTGACGCACAGGCACAGTAATTACTCACCAGTGCTGGTTTCTACCATCGCCACAGTGACATCATGGGGACCAGGTTTTCGGGCAGCACACAGCACGGTGAGTGGAGAGGGGTTCTCTGGGGACAGGCTAAGTGCTGTGGCCACCCCTCCCTGCTGCATACCTCACAGCTAGCAGAAGAGAGGAGCACCCCATGCCACTTCTAGGTGCTGGTGCCCGATCCTACACAGGCACGATCCCCGTCCACCTTCACAAATCCCTAAGAACTCAGAATCGCACAGAGGGACAGATCCTACATTCTGTCACTTGCCCCTTCCAAATTCTGCAGTCACTTGCACAGACTCTGGGCGCTAGTCAGGACCACAAGCAGGGGACCGAGGAGACATCAGAAATGCAGATCACAGGATAGGAAGGCAGCTGGTGGATGTCTTCTTTCTCTCCACCCTAACCTCAGGTGCTGCCTCAGCCTCCTGTGGCTCCCAGCTCCCCTCTCTGTGCCTGGGGAACCTCATTTACGATGCTTTTGGAGAACAGCCTTTGGCAGAGAAAGGTCTGGGAAAAGATGCTTCTCCTTGAGAAGCTTTTAGTGGAACGGAAGTCCCCTCATACTAATTAATGCCAACAGCCTCACAGTATCAGTTACCCTAGTTAAAAAATCATAAGCTTTTCATTTCTTCACATTTCAGATGTGTTAGTTTAATAAATTATGTCTTCAAAAATTGATTCCATCTTTAGTCATGCTTCAATATTTTTCTACGGGAGAACAAGTAGGATTTAGGAGTAACTGTTCTACCATTAATCAACAAAATAGTCTCTGTCTTTATGGAGGAAGCTGTTAAGAACAATGTAAAATCTTTCGCTCTTGATTCCCAAATCAGTTAATAATGCATTAGGTTACAAATAACAAACATTGACAATGACAGTGACATAAAAGAGTCACATAATAAGAAATCTAGACAAAGACGGGCCAGACTGAATAACAGCAGTTATTCAACAGTGCCATAAAGAATCTAGACTTTATTTTCCTGTAACACCATCTTTAGCTGTAAAGTTCAACCTCATGGTTGCACGATGGCTGCTGTAGCTCTAACAGAGCTGTAGCTCTAATAGAACCTGTAGCTCTAATACAGCCTGTGCTGTAGCTCTAATAGAGCCTGTAACCCAAGTGTGAACAAAGGCAAAGTGCAAAGGCAAATCTGGCTCCATTAAATGTCTTTCCAGATTCCCCCACATTCTCTACTTAGGGCCTACTAGACAGAATCATATCAGTGGGTCATGGTTACATCCGGGGAGGCTGGGGCAGTGTGTGTCTACTGTGAATACTGCCACCCGGAACAAAATCTGGGCTCTGTTGTAAGATGGGCAGAACATCACATTCCTTGGCCTGAGAACATGCAGATACTGCTCACGAAGTGTGCTGCTGGCAGGGGTTTCGGACCACTTTGTCTCCCTCCAAGCGCACACTGCAATAATACTTCCCAGCCTGAGGGTACAGGCATGACCTCCTGATATGGTCACTAAGTCACCCACTCGTTCTTTCATTGGCGAACTTAGTTACTATTTACTGACTGTCATCTCTGCATCTGTCATGGGGAGAAGCAATGATGAGCAAATGAGACATGGACTTGACTTCACAGTGTGTCCAGTCGCCAATTAAATGAAAGAGAGAAGTAAAAAAGGAAGAAAGTGCATATCAGATCCCAGCTAAACACCGCGGTCAGTTTCTGGGCATTGAGTATTCCTCTGAAGGGGAACAATTCATGGTCATTCTCTTCCACCTACGGCAGTTGTATTCTGATAAATCACGGTAATCGTGAGCCACTCAACACCCTGAGACAAGGAAGACCAAGTTGAACCTGCGAAACGCCAGGGGTAAATATCAGGGCAATGCACTCAGCTGCTTGGCACTCTGAGTAGTAGATCACTCCCGCCTGGTACAGCAGGCACAGAGTTGTTCTGAGCAGCAGATGCTCGGGTGAACTTGTGCCTTTACACTCTCCAGGGCTACTCCAAGACTGCTGCACACAAGTACCCAGCAAATACATTTGCTGGCCTGAACTCAAAAGTAGACCTTTCTCTACTAGGATGTCAGGATTACACAGAAATTCTCTAAGCTTCCAAACTGTATGCCACAGCCCACTGCTACCTTTATTATAGACATGCACAGACATTGTACCTTTCTTCTCATCACAGTGGCCATGCAAACTTCACTGCTAGCTACAAGCGGTGCAAGGTAAGGGGGCTTGGTACAGCTGCTCCGTTGAATGTAACTTCAGAGTCTCAGTTTAATATCCACCTCCCCAACCCACATGCTTTCCTGGGGACTAAGTGCTCTTGCAGCCCACCTCTGTGTAGCCTCCAAACAGGATGAAAATGAGAGCTGAGCTTTAGCTGGTGGCCCACACCTGTAATCCCAGCACTCAGCTATTTAGTTGGTACACAGGGAAGTTTATCTCTACCCAGGATGTTTAAAGCCAGTCAAAGGTACACAGTGAGCTGGAGGCCAGCTTGAACTACATAATGAAATCCTGTCTCAAAAAAGATAAAACAAGAATCTGGGCTTTTATTTATTGGTATTATACTGAATTGCACCCCATAAATCCCTTGGGGGAGGCGGTATCTAAATACACCAGTACCTGGTGTTTAAATTCCCCTTACAGCAGTAGCCCTGCCGTGAGAGGGAAAGGCTGTCTTTTCCATCAGTAGCCCAAAGTCCTGTGCACAGGACTCATGGGAGGCCACTTCTGGACAGCACCTTCCCGCTCTGGCAGGACAGAGTTCTGCTCCCACCCTGGGTCTGGGTCGGAGACAGGGCTTCTCCATCCTGGGAAATGCCACCACCGATCCAGGGCAGAGACCTCAGCTCACGCTGAACGCAAAGCAAAGAACAGCAGTACCTTCAGTAAAACAAGAGTTTCAGTGAAGAAACGGCTTTTGGTTTTGTTTTTTCTTTCCCATGAGGTGTGATCCTAGGACCTTTGTACTGTGCTACATCCTTACCCACCCCACCTTTCATTTTGAGACAGGGTCTCCATAAATTGCTAACTTGCTCAGTTTTGGCTTGAACTTCCGGTTCTCCTGCCTCAGCCCTCCAGGGTCTCGAGGTTACTAAAATCAGTATTTGTAAATTCACTGAGGAAGGTGCTCCAAATACTCATGTAAAAAGCCACAATGAATGAAAGTTGAGGTTCTCGGACAGCCGAGGGTCGAGAACGGTGGTTCCGCCAGCTTCAGGGCCCCTGGCTGCCTGCCAGACCCGAGGGAGCCCAGCCCAGCTCCCGCAAGGGCCCCACGTGGTGCGGGATGGGGCGCAGAGACCGCTGGAAAAATCACTTAGAGGTGGCGGCCAAGATCACGGCAGATTAGAAACCCAGACCCAGAGCGATTCTACAAGAACACTGAAGGACATCAACGACCTAGTTACTATCCCCCGGGAGAAGAAACGGCGCAGTGCGGGGCGGCCCTGTTACACCGCTGACTTACAGACAGGCTGCACGATCGTGCTCCAGGGAGGTAACGGCGTTGCCGCCCGCAGGTGCGCGACCGCCCGACCCCACCCCGGACGCCCCTCGGGTGCCCAGATCGAGTGCAACAGCGAGGCTCTGCAACAGCGGGAACACCAGCTCCGAGCGTCTCCCAGCTCTTCCTCCCACGAATTCCTTTCTCCGCGCAAGCCCAGGAACCTCCCCAGGACAGCAGCTCGGTTTGGGGCAGGGACTCCGAAGGGCCGGGGGCGAGGGGGCGGCTCCCTCTCCCGCACCTGCGTTCCTGGCCCGGTCCCCCGGGGCGCGCGCCCGGCCGTAAGGCGCGCGTCCACACTCGCCGGGGAGGGGCCCG